GTAGACGTTGCTATAATCTACCTTCACATAATAAAGTTGCAGTTGTATTTGTTGGCGAAGGTGGTGCTCCCCAAACTTCAAGGAAAGTTATTATTTACCCAAGAGAGTATCTTTTAAAAACTAGATCAACTATGTCAGCCAACTTAGATTCTACGGTTTGCCCGCTTTTTTTCTCCAAGAGATGATGCTGATTGGTTATAATCAATAATTGCATAACCCTGAGCGTGCCAAACGTAAACCAGTTCTTTTTGTTACTTTACTTGCAACTTAAAGTGGCGTGAAATAACAGAAAATTTTAATTCGGGTCAGACTGCCAATGATATACCTAATTTCGTTACTCGAGTATTTTAATATAAATTAAATAACCTCCTTAATGATATATTCAAACGTGTATTAGGTAAAGTTGCAACGTATGTAATTGAGTTTCAAACGCGTGGTTTGCCGCATGACCACATTTTTCTTCATTTAGCCAATGATAATTAATTTGAAACATCACAGGTTCTCAATAATTTAATATTTGCAGAAAAAATCCAGATCCAATAGTTAATCGTTAACTTTAAAAAACTATTAAAGTTTGCATTATTCACGGCCCATGAGAGATACTGAATCCAAGTCATCCTGAGTGATAAATAGGATATGCAGCAAAAATTATCCTAAAGAACTTAATGCAAACAAAGTAGCTGTTCTTAATAGTTATCCACGATATAGGCGTCGTTACAATGGTTTGGTTATCAATAATAAAAGCTACAATATAGATAGCCGTTGGGTGGTACATTATATTTTTTGGTTATCAAGGAATTATCAAGCCCACATTAATTTTCAAGTTTGTGTGTCTGTAAAGACTGTTAAATATTTAAACAAATACATGTACAAATGGCATAATTGCGCAAATCTTTTGATAAATGAACAAGTTAATCACGATAAACTAAACACTTTTTTATACTGTCGTTATGTTAGTGCACTTGAAGCACTGTGGTGAATGTTTGAGTACCCCATAAGTCAAAGGTCACACACTATTATCCGTTTTAAAGTCTATCTTCCTGAGAATCAGATTGTGTATTTTAGAAAAGGAGAGAAATAAGTGACTTTAGATCGTGCTACTCATCCTGATTCAGACCTTACGGCATGGTTTAAATTAAATCCTGAAAATAAAGGAGTGCATTACTATTCATATGTGGACATTCCTTATCACTTTGTATTTCGTGATAAACATTGTAAATAAAAGGTTAGACAAAGAGGTGAAAATAAGGTGACAGTAAGAATTCTTAAAATTAGTCCAACATAAGAATTATTTTGTTTAGGTTTTGCAGGCAAAAGGAGCAACATCTTTGGAAGATTTGCGTACTCTTAATGGTATTGTTCTTGAAACATTTCGTGAAGCATGTGTTTTAAATGGTTGATTGCAAAGACACTTATAGGCAGAATACTCTTTCTGACGCAGTTTTAACGCGTATGCCTACGTAAATTAGACAGCTGTCTTCAATTATTTTAACCTTATGTGAACCTGGCGACCTTTTGCATCTTTGGAATACATTCATAACATTTATAATGTAGGAATTTATTCATCGCCAAGTTCCATTTATATTAGCTGAACAAGCTTCTCTTCGTCGAATGGAAAAGATGATTAATCAAAGCGGTTAAACGCTATATTATTATAACTTGCCTGTTGTTGGTAAATTCACAGATATTGATTTAGAAAATTTTAATGGTAATGTACAGCAATCAATTGACGAAACTAATAGGATAAGACAGCTTTATACTTTTATTCAATTAAATGTATATAATATTGTCTTTGCTGCATTGAACGAGTAACCAAGTATGAAAAATTAACAATCCAAATTGTTTTTTTATGGATGAATCAGCAGGTAGGCATATTTTGAAACCCTATACAGGCTCAGAATAGGAAGAGATAGGCGCAATCTGATTCGCTGATTTTGAAAAAGAGGCGTTAGCGCGTACGTTTAAATCAAAACAAATGTAAATAAATGTATCAATACAAAAATGTGAAATTAAGTAAATTTCAAATAATAACAAAAAGGTATAATTTTTCTATCTAATTTTGTACAATATAGTATATATATATATATATACATATATATATATATATATATATATATATATATATATATATATATATATATATATATATATATATATATATATATATATATATATATATATATATATATATATATATATATATATATATATATATATATATATATATATATATATATATATATATATATATATATATATATATATATATATATATATATATATATATATATATATATATATATATATATACTTTTACAATACTTCACAGTTCAAAACATCAAGTCTGCCGCCCTAAGTATAACGCAGTAAACAAGAAAAATGACATTCTGAGAAAAAGCCACTTTTAAATTTTGTGTGAACCTTACTTGAATATAATAATTAGACTTTCATGCCACATAGATTATGAATACAAAATACTTCCTTTATTCAATGAAAATTTATATTTAACCAAAACATCAATATATAGGCTTAAAAATCACACACTGCTAATTTACACAATATTTCACAGCCGTCATCCTAGATAAAAACGCAGTATAATCAATACAAAAATGCATGCATACTCCAATATATATTTTTTCATAAATATCAATGTGTTTTTATAAAAGGCATTGTTAATCACAATCTAGCTTGATAATCAATGGTTTCCAAACAAACCTTAATTAATAGTGGAGTTATAACATAGAGCTAGACTGCGTCTAATTAATAGGAAGAATTTTGAGTAAAGAATACTTACAACCAACAAATATGATATTTATAACAACCAGTCCAACCCAGCAACATATTTTTTCCACGAATATCAAATAATACCATTCTCTTACCATTAGTTAGGAGTGCACTAGGGGCTCAAAAACCACAATTTACCCATTATCAAATTAATAATCAGTCTTTCCATCTCTTATTTTGTCAACTTCATTCAAAGTGTGTATAAGGTAGATAAAGTAAATTAGATTTTTTAAAACGTTTTATTAGAATAAAAAAATACATATATAATTGAAAAAATATATAATATAAATGAAATTATATATTTTTTAAATTGTTCCAGAAAATTCTCCTGCTGGCTGGCATTAAACTCGATAAATTCGACAAAATATCATCGATTTTGTCTTGAGCCACCCCACGAGGCTTGTCCAACTGTGGAGGTTTTGATATTTTCTTTGTTGATGATTTCTTACAGAGGAAGTCTAATTGTTTTGTAAACTCCTCCGTATGAGAAGTTTTATATTCCATTGTAAATTTACCTCTGCGTGTTCTCACTGCTACAATGTTCTTCAGATATATTTTTTCAGAAGATTTCTTTAACTTCTGTTGGGATTTGTTATCTTTCCACATGTATATATCTGAAAGTGTCATTTCTTTCACATCCACCTTCCCTTTATTAGCATTCTGTACAGCTTTGGAAAAATCAGGAAAATCGTAAACTTTTTGTTTCTTCATGGAGAGCTCCACCTGATGATGAAAACTGTCGGCACTCATATATGTATGTCCTGGCTCAAAGTATTTTAGTTGTATTTCATCCATATCTACTTCATCACTATTTACAATATATACTAAAAAAGACAGAAGGCACCAATTTTTATTTTGGCTCGAACAATTGTCGAGCCAAAGTGTAATCTTTTTCGAGTCCCTCTGCCTCAAAAAAAAAGCATAAAATGTACTAACAATGTCCTCCTTGTTCCTCCCAGTTACACCTTCATGCCATATACATGCCATGGGAACACCATGTGCTTTCTTCCCAAGAGGAACGAATCTCTCGTGGTAAGCCACTATCCTCTTTGTAAATATAACTTTTTTAAATGCATCCAAACGTGGCAGCATGATGACTTTCTGTAAATCTACAGAGAAAATGCTGCCATCATTGAGCTCCGCATCCTTTTTGTATAATTCTCTTGCTTCTTCATATCTTATCTTGTGATTAATATATTGTTGGCAATCATCACAATCATTATTTAAATTATCTGCATCGTGACCGTGTAAACAAAATTTTTCACAAAATTCACACTCTTCATGGCCCAAAGTTGCAAATGAAATATTTTTTTTCTTTATAGCTAACCTATAATATTCGTATGATATTTGTTGTTCTGGGTATTTGTGTGTAAAATCATTGTGCATCATGGTGATGGTCACATCACTTGGCAAATATCTTCTAATAAGAGCATGTTCCCTCCTGTAATGAGATACAGTTGGTTCAAATGATTCGATGTGCGCATCTATTAAATCGTCATGTTTATACTTCCTATCCGAAACATGTTTGCCACGTCCATCAGCTAATGGGGCTATTGCGGCAGTTGGAGTTTTGTTAAGGACCTCAAATACTGCACGGTCATTATTTGGTTTGTATCCTAGTGTTGTTAGGAAAAACTTCTTGCACACGGACTGCTTGATTGAGTCTTTATTACTGAAGAAGTATTTCCAGGTGTTTTTTCGTGCACCATCTTCAACACTTTTCCTCTTTACAGGCATGCGGTCACATGTATTGAGGATAAATGTCTTCCTCTCCTTCCAGCCTAATTTTAAATATTGGGCGTTAATTTCAATACGTCGTCCCTCATTTATTTTGCTAATGCATTTTTTTTTGCAACAATCAACAATTGGCTTTAGTGCATACTTTGCTTTATATAGTTGCATCTTACGTTCTTTTCTTTCTTTGACACTTAAAGAATTACTTCTGCGAATTCGTATAGTTTCCTTTTTAGTAAATTGGACCGATGGAGATGCAGCTTCGTCCAATGGTTTATCCACAGATTCCTTTAACACTGAAACAAGATAAAATTTAATTATTACTTCGTTTAAGTACAGAACACGGTACAACCTATGTTATACATATAATTTATATGTTATATAAAATATACATAATAGATATACCAATTTCTTCTCCATTTTCCACCACATCCACTCTACTCTTTAAGACATCTTCGTCCATTGAAGGTTGAAGTGTTGTTACAGACTCATCTAAAACTGATAATTTAATGCATTGTATATCTGCATAAAAAATGTCACACAAGTTATCATATAATAAAAAAAACACGTAATATTCTTACCAATATCTCCTCTATCCTCCATAATTTCTGCCTCATACACTACGACTTCCATTTTATCAACAGTTACTTCAGATACAACTGTTCTAGAATCCTGTAAAAGAAAGGGTAAAACATAACCAAGAAGAACCATACATTAGGTATTTACACAGTTATTTGTAGATTTTTTATAGTGAAACCTTGAGAAATTTGTCGAATATTTATTATTATGATCAATAAACACAATACACATAACCTTAGATACATAAAATAGATTGAGACTACGGAAATATATAATTAAAACACTTACATCTAACAATGAAGATTTACATTTGTCTGAAGCACGATGTAGCATATATTGAGTCCTTGACATCCAAGTGTTGCAAATATCACACAACATTTTATGATTTTTATAACACTCTACGATAAATTGAATAGTCCTAAATATAATTCACTATAAAAATAATCTTTACCGAAAAAAAAGAAACACCAAATACGAAAACACGAACGAACAACCAACGCACACACTAATCAGATGACGCTTGCAGTTGCAATGACGCCGTATTCGTCATAGATAACCCACGTTTTTGTCTGTGTTGCCAAGTTAAAAAGCAGTAAAGCAATGATACTATGAAAAAATGCAGTACGTACGTTGCAAATACTGCATTTTTAATTTGTATTGCGATAATGCTGCGTTTTTACAAAGTATAAGTATTACACTATATTTTTTTAACTTACGGCAAAATGAACTATGGGTTTGATTACTTCGGAATATACCACAATATTTTTATATAGAGCGTTATTACACAGAAAACGATGTTAAAACGTTTGGTGCAATAATCTCGATTTTTCAATTTTTGCGATTACTGCGTTTTTTCTTAGGACGGCAGAAATTATTTCTATTAATCCTATCATTTAGCAAAAATATATTTAAAAAGTTACCTAATTTTTTTTCAGAACTTTACAATAATTAATATATAAATTATATATATATATCACTAAAATTTAAAATGTTTTAGTGATTTAAACATACAACTGCTTTTGGGTTGTTATAGCTTGTCTAGATAACTTGTAATAATAATGAGCAATATATGTATGTTATGCATCTCTAAAACATTTTAGTTTGAGAATATTGTTTAATGGTTGTAATAGCAAGCCCAGATTATTTTCAATGCTCTCAAATTAAAAGCAATTCTAAGCAAAAGCTGATTTAGATTGCTTTGGTAATGCATTGTAATAAAATATTAAAAAATATTTTGCCATAATAACCTATAAAAAAAAAAAACCTGATGTTTAAAAGTGTGTTTTGATATAGTAAACTGATTGTTAAAAGGAATAACTTTTAACTTACGACACTTTTGTGAATAAATAAGTATAAAAAGATAAAAGAAAGAAGTTTTGCTAACATTCAAATTCATGTTGTTATTTATTTGAGTTCCAAAAGTCAACACATATAAACCACATGTTTGTTGATATATAGCTTTTAACCTGAACAATATATTGGTTATTATGTTCTATAATTAGCAAAAATCGTTTAGCCTTTAATAGTAACTTTTTTTGAACTTCTGTGAATACCTCTTGTATAATAATTTAAAAACAGAGAAGCGTTATGTTTTATCTTAAAATAACATTAAAACTTTTTTATGAAAATTTGCCTCTTCAAAGGTAAAAGCTTTTTTTGATGAAGTTTTTTTTTATTAATTGCCAGTTTTTATTAATTGCCATATTTTACCTTCATTTTTTTAAGTTTATAAACTTCAATACTCTTTGCTAGAAATATCAACTTTTATATGTAACTGTACAGAAGTGTACTGTAGAAGAAAAAAAAACTCACTTTTTTTTTTTAAATTATCCAACGGATTATTAAAATACAACTTTCATTCGATTTTAGTTTTTCACAAAATGTGTGAAGGTTTAAGGATGATGTTTTATTAAAGCTAAGTAAGAAAAATATTGACGTACGCCTAAACAACCTCCTCAATATTTAGGTTAAAGAGTAATTTCTTTAGAGTTTGTAGATTTACACGGAGCATATAAGTTAGTTTGGTAATAAATTTATAATAATTTTTTTTTTCCAAAAATTATATGAATAACTACTTATAACTAACAAATTGATGTAAAGATGCAGCAACAAGCTTAAAAAAATCTCTGCATTAGCATAAAATTTATACATTTCAAAATTTAAGTTCTATTCTGTAAATTTAGTGCAACTGTATGTAAAATTTGTATAGAGCATGCTTTATAGAACATGGACATTACATTTGACGAGAAACAAACATCGAAATCTTGCAAGATTGCATATATGCAAACTCAAGTTAAACAATTCAAGAGTTTAAACATACAAAACACGTTTTAAAGTAACAAAAATATTCATAGCATGACAACTGATTATGTTATTTTTATTTGGTTCTTTTTTTGGTAATTTATTTGACTTCAATGCTTTTTTTTTGCTTTTAATTTTAGTGTTTGTTAAATTTTTAGGTTACATTTTATTAAGTTAAAGCAGCCTACCATAAAGTTTCTATATTTTTAAAATGTGTTTAATGGTGTAATACGATGTTTTATTAGAGTCATGCAATCAAAAAATAAATCAGTCTCCTCCAAACTATGGTTGAAACAAAAAATGTAAACAAAATCTTTTCAGAGCTTACATATTGACATAGAACATGTAAGCTAGTTATGCAATCAGCACAAATTTTCTTTATTTAAAAGCTAATGTTCAACTCTTTATAATTGACATATAAATCAATTTATAAATTAAGTTCTTTACTAATAGTCTGGTTAAACTGCATGTAATCTTTGTATGCAAAAGTACTTCACAAATAGTCTTGTACAACTGTATATAAACTTCGTATTTGAGTATGCTTCAAGGCCTAGAACATAATTTACAAAAAACTCATTTATAGAGAATTAATAAGAATGCTTTTAAAAAATAGCCCCTCAATTTGGGCTAATTTGTATTATAATAGTGACAGGAAGAGGGTGGCCGTTTGGTTAATATATAAATTAGAGAAAACGTTTTTTGTATTTATTAAGTTAGTTATATAAAAAAACTTTCCGCTAAATAAACCTAATTATTTTTTAAAATTTAGTAAAAATTAGGAAAAGAGGACTGGTAAAATTAGCCTAAATAAACTTTAATATCCTAACAAGAGACAACGGTTTGCAATATATATATATATATATATATATATATATATATATATATATATATATATATATATATATATATATATATATTTATATATATATATAATATATATATATATATATATATATATATATATATATATATATATATATATATATATATATATATATATATATATATATTGTTTATATAAAGATAATTAAGCGAAACAAAGAATAAAAAAAATATTTGTTTATATTAAAATTAAAAAATGATAATATAGCGTTTTTTTGTAAATATCAACGCACTATAATAAAATTTTAAGTCGCTATAATAAAACTTTAAACTACAATTACCATATTCATTAAAACAAAAATTTTCACAACAATAAAATTTTTTAGCAATTATTTTTAATTTTTTTGGTTTAGTGGCTTTTGTTAAGAGCATTTAAATGTTACGTCAAATCATCTCATTTTAACTTATTCGTTGCATCATCCATACTGCAGCTACTTTTCAAATGGCTTTAGAGTTAAAAATATCGTTTTTTACTTTTTTATATAATAAGCTAGTTTATATGTCTACAAGCGTTATTGAATACATATTTTCAAAGAATTCTGAAAAAATCCATTAAAAATAATTGTTTCAAAAAACGTTTAACAGAGCGTTAATTTATAATAATTATTTTTAATTGCATTTTTCTCGAAATACGTAATAGGCATATTAAGATGTTTTGAAAAACAGCTGCAGCATATATTTAAAGTAAAAAAATTAATTTAGAAAAATTAGCTTTTATTGACAAAAGAAAATTTTTTTCTATATCTACGGTCTCTTTTTTTTTTTTTTGCCTTGACAATAGCACCTCTTTGAGTAGCAGGACTTTCCTATTTATTTAATATAGTTTTTTTGTTATAAAATTTCAGACAACTTTTTTTTCAGACCATCCACAGCTTATAAGGACTAATTACCTTAGCACATTATTAACATAAGTGTCTCAATGATCATACTCTTTCTCGCCATTCCCTCGATTACAAAGGCTGAGTTTAATTCAGTATATATATATATATATATATATATATATATATATATATATATATATATATATATATATTTATTTATTTATTTATAAATATATATAAATATATATATATATATATATATATATATATATATATATATATATATATATATTATATATATATATATATATGTTTATATATATATATATATTTATTTATAAATATATATATATATATATATATATATATATATATATATATATATATATATATATATATATATATATATATATATATATGTTTATATATATATATATATATATATATGTATATATATATATATATATATTTATTTATTTATAAATATATATATATATATATATATATATATATATATATATATATATTTATTTATAAATATATATATATATATATATATATATGTTTATATATATATATGTATATATATATATATATATATATATATATATATATATATATATATATATATATATATATATATATATATATATATATGTATATATATATATATATATATATATATATATATATATATATATATATATATATATATATATATATATGTATATATATATATATATATATATATATACAAGCTAAAAATTTCATCCTTAATACAATTGGACATTCAAGGGAATGTTCCTGTACAAAATGTGAACTGATCGGAGAAAGAATAAACAACAGACAGGCTTTCTTGGAGACTGACGCAGCGCTTAGAACATATGAATCCTTCAGAGCTAGGCAACAGCCGGAACATCACCGCGGTGAAACACTTCTTGAGCAAATACCTTTCTTATATATAGTAACTATGGTAGTTATTGACCCTATGCACCAAATTCACATTGGCACCGTAAAAAAAATTCTAAAAGAGTTATTTGGAAAAGCGCCATCTGTAATTAAGCTTAATATAAGTATAAGAGCTAGAGTGTCTGATAAAATTATGACCATTAGTAATGAAATCCCATTTGAGTTTCAACGTCACCCTCGAGAACTAACATACTTAGCATTATACAAAGCCACAGAATTTTGTCTTTATTTACTTGTTGGTCCTCTTGTTATGAAAAAAATATTTGATGGTTCACAAAGAAATGAAGCTCTATATTGTCATTTTTTAAATTTACATGTTGCAACAAGTATTCTTGCTAGACTAGCAACTACTCTTAAGATTACATTTTGTGAAAAATTACTTAAAAATTTTGTTTCTGATTTTGCTATGCTATATGGAAACTATCTTGTGAGTGCTAATATCCACTCTCTGTTCCATATAGCTAATGATGTGTGGAAATTTGGGCCGATTGAAAAATACTCTGCATTTGTGTTTGAGAGTGCAAATAGGTATATTCGAAATATGCTGAAGACATCACCTAACCCATTGGAACAGATAGTAAAGCGTGAACATGAAAGAAAGATAAATTAACCTGTAACAAAGTCAAATAAATTTGAAAATGTTGAATTTTCAAAACATCGCTTAAAGGGTCCACTCATAGATGCAACCAATT